AACATTGATTGGCCGCCTCCTGCATGCCCCACACAGGGAATCTAGCCTACAACCCAGGCACATGCCCTGATCAGGAATTGAACTGTAACCTTCTGGTTCATAGGTCGACGCTCAACCATTGAGCCACTCCGGCCGGCCAACGTCTAAATCAGGGGTCCTCAAACTTTTAAAACGGGGCCAGTTTACTGTCCCTCAGACCGTTGGAGGGCCGGACTATAGTTTAAAAAAAAAACTATGAACAAATTCCTATGCACACTGCACCTATCTTATTTTGAAGTAAAAAAACAACACAGGAGCAAATACAATATTTGTATTTGCATGTGGCCCTCGGGCCGTAGTTTGAGGACCCCTGGTCTAAACTTTTGAGTGAGGGCAGCATTTTTCAAATGAGTGCAACTTCTTGCGTTTTTTGTTTTTGAAGGAACAGCATTCACATGTATGCATAAGTATATGTTCATCTAGGTTCCCCTTCAGTCACCCTTTTAGAGGGCTTGATGGGGTCAGTGGCTGATGGTTGTCCCCTGTTGGGAGGATTTGCACGATACATTGTTTAGGGAGCCCAACATGGAAGCCGAAGCTTATTTTTACGGAGAGAAACCGAAGCACAAGAACTCCTCTAACATCACTATGTTGAACTGACCCTTAGCCAGAACTCCTGTTTCCGATTTCTTCCTGTCTCTTACTGCCCGTTTGAGCATTGTAATCCCAGTGTTCGGGAGGCCCCTGGTAGCCCTAGTTAGTGAAGTATTGTTTCTTCTCGATGCACGTTCTTTTCAGGGAGCGGCAGAAACCGCCTCGCTTCCTCTGGTGAAAACTTCGTTCACTTCTTCAATGTTTTTCAAAGCGCTGTGGCCTTTCTATCCGGATTTTTATTCGAAGGATAGGGTGAGAAACTACTGACGGTGTTACTGTGGTTTTCTCATTGTTCTGACAGGCTGGATTAGAGTAGACTTTAAAAAATATATATTTTTTAAGAGTAGTGCATTTATCCAAAGTTGTGCTCCTCTACTCAGAGAAATGGGGAAAAAATTTTTTTGATCTTCACCCGAGGATATTTTTCCATTGATTTTCAGAGAGCGTGGAAGGGAGAAGGAAAGACAAATATCAATGTGAGAGAAACACATCGATTGGTTGCCTCCTGCACGCGCCCACCAGGGCATGGGCTGGGGAGGGGCCTGCATCCGACATATGTGCCCTTGACCAGAATCGAACCCAGGACCCTTTGGTCCACAGGCCGACACTCTATTCACTGGACCAAACTGGCTTGGGCAAGAAGTTGAAGTTTTGACTAATAACTACTATTGTTGTGTTTGGTTATGGGGAATTAGGTCCTAACAGAGTACCAGCTGCTCATAATTGGGAGGAATCTAGAGAAAGCTTCCTCTTCATGTAGGCCTAGTATATTTTACCTGCAGTATATGAGAATGGCTGGATGATGAATGCCCACAGGAATTTTATATCGTTTAATTTGCATCAGTAGTAGATTTCTAAGTGTTTTATTGATCTAAACAAATTGGTTATTAAGAGGCTTTAGGAACTTAGAAATTGGTGAGCAGCCCTGGCCATTGTGGCTCAGTTAGTGGGACGTTGTCCAGTGAACCAAAGGGTTTCTGGTTCATTTCCCAGTTGATCAGTGTTTCACTCTCACATTGATGTTTTTCTCTCTCCCTCTCTCTTCCTCACTCTCAAAAAAAAAAAAAAAAATTTGGTGAGCACAATTTTATCGTCTATCCTAAAGTGAAATTCTGAGGCATATACACTTTTTTTTTTTAAAGAAAGAGAGAAGCATTGATTTGTTGTTCCACTTATGTATGCATTTATTGGTTGATTCTTATGTGTGCTCTGACTGGGGATAGAATCCACAACCTTGGTGTATCAAGATGATGCTCTAACCAGCTCAGCTACCCGGCCAGGGCTGGTTATATCTTTTTTGATAGAAATCGTTTTGAGGAGAAATGGGGGTCCGAGATCGTAAGGGTTCCCATAGCAGGGCAGAAAGCCACTTTAGTGCCTGAAATTCCATCTTCTGATTCTGAAAAATCCATTTTTCACTTCCTTTGAAGTGCTTCTTAGGAAGGAGTACACCGAGAGAAAAGCATTTGTCCATTTTGGACAACTTTTAGCATTTTGTGAACACCACTTGTGTGCATTTTAGCCCTTCTCGGGGTCCTGGGGACCCTTTAAATGGAACGACTTCGTAATTAGGAGTTAAGAGCTGTACATATTTTTAAAAGCAAGACCCAGAGAGAACATGCTGTGTGCGTAGGGTCGGGTGGTCAGGAGGGGGCGCTGATAGGTTTAAGACTCTGTTCCCCTCCTGGGAGACGGGCACAGTTAGGACATTGGCGGATACTCGGCTTCTTGATGTGCTGGGAGGACTGACGCACACTCACTAGAAGTCAGAGCACTTGTTGCTGGAGATTTTTGGGGTACTCTTCCGAAAGGAAATACTTGACTTTGGTGGCTGCTGAGTGAAGTGTGGTTACAGATGGGGTGATGATTTGGATCCTCAGCAGCACGTTTAATGCACAAGTGAAATGTTCCTTTACTTTCTTGGTTTGAAGCCTCAGGCCAGTGTTTTTACATTTTTAAATCCATACAGTTCCTCCAAGTCTCATGACCACTTGCCATTTTTCAGTTGGTGGTTTATTCCTTTAATATATTAGATTTTTTTGGAGAGTAAACCATGTGT